GGATTGGGGGCTGGGAGCCAGGACTCCTGGGTTCTCTCCCCGGCTCTGGGAGGGGAGGGGGTCTGATGGTTAGAGCAGGGGGTTGGGAGCCAGGACTCCTGGGTTCTCTCCCCAGCTCAGAGACAGGAGTGGGGTCTGGTGGTTAGAGCGGGGGGGTTGGGAGCCAGGACTCCTGGGTTCTCTCCCCGGCTCTGGGAGGGGATTGGGGGCTGGGAGCCCGGACTCCTGGGTTCTCTCCTGGCTCTGGCATAGGACACGTGTCCCCCTGGGGTAGCTGATCCTGGCTGAAGGGACCTGCAGCGCCGAGGTCCCAGCTGTGCGGTTGGGGGGTGCTGTGGGGCAAGATCTCACCTTCCCTCTCCCCCTGCCTCCCCAGAGTCCCTCCCTCCGCCAGTCTCCAGCCCCCCGGCCCGGGAGCCCGGCTCGGCCCAGAAGCCCAGCAGCTTCCTCTTCCGCTCCACGTCGCGGACCGCCATCAAGCCCGGCTCCGGTAGGTGGTGCCACGCGGCTCTGCCCCCCTCTGCTGGCGGGCCAGGGTACTGCTGTGGCCCCCAGCAGCTCTGCAGGTCCGGGGTTCGAATCCTGCCCGTGGCTGGCAGATCTGCACGGGGCCCCTGTGTCTCCGTCCCCTGAGCCCTGCCGTCCTCTCCGCAGCCTGTGCCCCCCACGACTGCACCGCGGACCCCCAGCACCCCCTGCGGCTACGGGCCGGCTCGCACGACCTGGACGAGAAGGAGTTAACAGCTCAGCTCCGCAAGGTACAGCCATGCCCCCCCTCAGCCCCCGGGTCCCCCCGTGAGCTCCCGGCACCGAGTCCCCTGGGTGGGGCTCCTGAGGACCCCCCGACATCCCCCCGGGCTTCGTCTCTCTCCCCGGCAAACCGGTCCACTGGGCGCTTCGTTCCCAGCCCCTCTGGCCGGCTCCTCGCCGGGGACGGCCCTGGCCATGGGGTGCCGGGCTACAGAGCGTGGCCTGGTCTCTGTGCCCCGTTAGCCCGTTGCCGTCACACCTGCCTCTAGGGGTCACCGCACCGATTCCACCCCCTAGATAGAGGAGTGACGTGGGGAAACCGAAGCGCGCACACAGTATTCAGACAAAATATTTAAAACGTTCCCACTTCGGCACACCTGCCCGCCCCCGAGACCCTGAAAGCTTGGCTGAGATCCCATACCAGAATCTGCAAGGCTGGGAGCCAGGACACCTGGGTTCTATCCTCGGCTCTGGGAAGGGAGTGGGGCTGGTGGGTTAGAGCAGGGGGGGCTGGGGAGCCGGGACTCCTGGGTTCTCTCCCAGCTCTGGGAAGGGAGTGGGGCTGGTGGGTTAGAGCAGGGGGGGCTGGGAGCCGGGACTCCTGGGTTCTCTCCCAGCTCTGGGAAGGGAGTGGGGCTGGTGGGTTAGAGCAGGGGGGGCTGGGAGCCGGGACTCCTGGGTTCTCTCCCAGCTCTGGGAAGGG